CCCCCCCCCCCGCGTTGCGTTCCACTGCAAAACGCAAAAAATAGAGCAAGCCCTATTTTTTGCGTTTGCAGTGGAATGGAACACTGCCAAATCTTGCCACGTGTCCGATCACATTGCGGGCGGGGTGTGTGGAATCGGTACCATTGAATTCAATGCACCGCCACGCCCACTCCCGCCCCAAAACGCGGGGAGAAGTTTCTTAGCGATCGTGGTGCGTTCCAGCAACTACCGCTCTGGAACGCACACGCTTTCGTTGTGAACAAGGTCTCAGATCTTCACCGGGAGCGAGCGGCGGAGACACAGGTAAGTATTTACCTATTTGGTAACTTTTTTTAATTTTATTTTTTAAATGTTTTTTTTATATACCTACTGCTTGCTAGCAATAGATACATGTAAAAATAAAAGTGACTTTAAGGGTTAGTTCACACCAGATGCAGTCCGTTCCATTTTTGAGCTGCATCAAAAATGCATCACAATGCTTTCCTATGGGATTCTTGTGCTCTGTTCACACCAGAGCAGTCCATTCCGATGTAACCAGAAAAAGTACTGCTTGCCCTATTTTAGCTGCATCGTATCGCGACGGAACGCATCAAAACGTATAAATAACGTATAAATAACGGAACGCTACTGAAATCCCATCAATCACGGCACAGAAACATCGCACCGCAGGTGTGCAGACACGTGCGGTTCTAATGCAGGTGTGGTGTGAACTAGCCCTAATACTACTTTAATCTTAAGCTTGCAAATAAAACTGCATCCACTGCTATCATGCGTTATTGGTATAATAGACCCTGATGAAGACTGGTGAAAGTAGGACAGTGATGTCACAGGGCGCTGGTTCTTGGGTGAATGATTATGAACACTTCCCCAGAATAACCAGAGCGTCTCTGTATTAATAAGTGTTATAAAGTCATGACCGCAGACTCATAATTCATTCACATAGCAGATTCTGCAGTCTAATAGTTCATTCACACAGCAAGAGAAACATCTCCAATTAATAAATGACATCTTTAAGTGCTGGGGTGAAGATGATGGATGGCGGATGAGCTTTAGAGCCGCCTGGTGGTTTGTCACATGTGGCGGATTTCATTCTGCTTTCACAGTCACTACAATTTTCAGTGAAGCAGTAGCTTTGAGCTGTCAGGTTTGAACGTCTGTGTTTTTGTTGCTTTTCACTGCTAAGAAATGTAGATACAATAATCTTAATCAATAAGGAAAAGTATGATAACCCATAACAACCAGTAACAATGCTTATTTCCTTGGTTTGGCTTTGGTAAATTGAAATTCATCTGCGTTGGATACTGTGATTTTCCCACCCTCATTTCTTTTTTTATTTTCTTTGAATAAATATCAATTATACTTTACCAAAATTAAAGGAAACACAAATTCTTATAGAGTATAAAATGCCTAATGTAGCAATGCTTATTCTTAGCTGGAGTTATTTCTGCACAACCATCAATCATAATGACACTTATAGGGCAATTCTAATGCTGATTGGTGGCTGAAGAGAAGTAACCCAAGTTCTCAGTTAAAAAAAACATTGACACATAAGACCCAAAGATATATAGGCCTCAATATATTTTATGCCAACTGAGTTTACAAGGACAGCAATTTAGGCATTAACAAAACAAGGGTTACAGATCTTGCCATGGCTATAAAAGAACAGTTTTGGTGACCATATTAAAGTGATAAACCTGGACAATTTATATTATTAATGCACGTTTACCTTCAATAAAAACCTCAGGTCCAAACAATCAGCTATTACCTAGTAGTATTTCCTATAGTATGGATGGGATCTGTTGAGTTAGTAACATGTTCTTATTCTTTTTTCCTCTTAGCTGTGATGTTAAGTTGTGCCTGTATAGCCTATGTCTGCAAAGCTTGCCTCTTGTTGATGCTGAACTAAGACGAGAACAATACACGGTGGGTACCAGTCCTAAAAGTGGCTCCCCGCCATATTTGATGGTGTTTAGGGAACTGAAGCAATAATGTTAGCAACACATTATTTTTTTTTTAAATAAATGTTTTAATCCTGGCACCATTCCTGAATCACTTTCCCTAACATGCTGAGGATGAAGACCACTGCCCTTTGTTTTGAGAGCAGCAGTCTGCCTCCAGGGGTTCAGCGAGCCCCTGCACATTTAATGATGACTGTGCTTCAATTAACAACGCTCATTAGTGCAGGGCGTGTGTCGGACCCCTGGGGATAGACTGCTTCTTTTACACCGAAGGCGGTGGTCCTGTTCTTCAGCATGCTGCCGTGGAAGATATTCTGGGGCGGTGCTGGAGCTGCAAGTAAAATAAGTATTGGAATTAAAAACTTATTTTTCAAAGTGGATCTTCCATGAAAATGGAAATTCCACTTTATTGAAAGCCTCCTAAAGTCAAATTGATTAAGAAAAAATAAAAACAAAAGCTGTTGCTAAAAAAAAAAAATACTTACCTTGGCCCCAGCTTCTGATGCTACCAGGAGGCATAGGTGACATCACTGTGCCTCACTGCTGCCTCCTGGGATTACTGGGTGGTCAATATCCCATGTGAATGAACTCCAGCCCATTGCAGGAGCATATTCTTTGCAGGATTTCGAACACCCAGCTCTCCCAGGAGGCAGCAGTTAGGCACGGGAATGTCGACCGCACCTCCTGGAAGCAGCAGCAGCAGCAAGGATACGTTATTGTTTTTTTTTTCTTTCACTTATCAGCTTTATTTGTTAAAGCACTTTTGCTGGAAATTTGACTTAGGCAGGTGAGCGGTTTTTAATAGAGTAGACCTTCTAATTCCATGGAAGGTCTACATTAAAGCACCCTTAATTTTAATAACATGTAATTATTACAATTGGACTTTAAATTAAATTTAAATGTTTGGCCAGACCTGAGATTCCATGTTTTCCTGTTTTGTTTTGTTTTGTTTTCTTTTAATAAGTTGTGTTTTTAATAAAAAAAAAAAAAAAAAAATCACTTGCGGCTGTAAAAAAC